CCAAAATCTTGGGTCATGTTTGTGGCACAAACATGTGCACATGTTAGGACAAAGGACTTTGCTTCTCTCAGCACCTCTTTCTTCAGAGATGACTGGAAACAGACACAGCTCCAAAGGAGTAAGGAAGCAGCAATTTCTCAAGTAACCTCTGTCTCCCTTCTACATGCTATGGGGCCACTCTTGTCCCTTAAGAATTCAGGAATAGGTGTCAATTTGTGGCACCTTAGCTGGAAGCCCGCCAATTGATCAAGTTCCAGACACCACTGAATGTGGACTCAAGAATTTCATCCTTACCTTATGGGATATCACCTTAAATCAAGTATAAATGGTAGCCATTACAATCGTAAGGAGGAGTGAAGCTGATGTGAAAAGAATCACCTACATTGGACTCCACTGTGATTGATGAGCTAGCAAACACATTAAACCACAGACTTCAAGATGGATTATCAGACACAAATATTCCAGAGCCAGGTAAGAAAGCCACCATCCTTCAAACCTTGAAAAGAGCAAAATTATGCCATCATGTCCCTGACAAGTTAGCTGATTTACTGTATGTTACTGGTGTGAGTGAAGTGGACCTCTCCAAATAGCTGGTTAATTATGCCAAATAAAGGGCAAAAATGGTGTTTCTTGAAATGGTAGATGTGAAAAACATTGATTGTTTACTTTAGCAAAAGTTTTCAGGATGACGTACAGGTGTGCATTTGATGTCCCTCCTATTTCTCTCTCTCCCTTGCTCCCTCCCTCTCTTCCACAAGCAGTTTAGAAGTTATTCTAAGAATCTAACTTTGCTAGAGGTCAAATGGGAAACAGCTTCAGTGATGAGTTTGTTGGAATGCTCTCCCCCAATTTTTATTTCCATCACTTTTATACACAAATCCAAGAGCCTGTCAGACTAGTCAATTGACACTATCTTTCCTCAGTAAATCAGTATTATCAATAGCTTCTGTCACCATAATTCTTATGATAAGCAAATACTGTAGCAAATACTATCTTAGTACAATAATTTAGATGTACTCTTCACATTAGATCCCAACTTCACATTAGTTCCCAACTTCACATTAGTTCTCCATTTCACATTATTCCCTGAGGAACATAATCCCTAATAGAGGCATATCATCTTTATCATTCCCATTTTCCAGCCCCTGCATCAACCCCACATACCCTACATTTGTATCTCCTATACAAAAGCAGATTAATTCTTGATTTAAAGATTACAGAAAAACATTAATAGACCAAAAAACTCATGCATGTGTATGTATCATTTAAAATTATATTTATACATTGTACAAGAATATTGAGGATTCTAGTAGGCAATGTCAGAGTTTACTATTTATCAAAATTGATACAGCCTTATTGTTTCTAAAAACCACAAAATGAATGTATTCACCTAAGTTTTAAAATCAGATAATCTACAACATACAGAAGGGGAGAAAAAGGAAGTGCTCTCTTCCCAAGCAATACACCCCTGTAAACCCAGGAGATAACTACTGAGTAAAGCTTGTTGTATTTCTTTCAGGAATTACCCTGTATTTATATCCACATATATCCAATAAAATGGAATCAATATTATACAAAACATACCAGTCCATGGCCTGTATTTTCACAAACACCTTCCACATGACTATATAGAAACAGACCTCATTCTCTTATTGATTGCTTAGTGTTCCGCTGCAAAGTTCTATCATAATCAATTTAACCAAATTCCTATTGATAAAGATTTCAGTTGCTTTCCATTTCTTAAACTTCTAAACATTTCAGTGATCAGCCTTGTATACACATTTGAGCACACTTATCTACTCATTGCCATCCCTAGGACAGTCTAAGGAGATTCCTTTTCCTTCTTCCACCCCAGTGTCTTCTGCCTTACATGCTGCTTCCATTGGGTGTTTCTACTCCCAGGCCAATTAAGCTCCCAGTGCTAACACTTAGGGTGAAGTTACTTCACATCTCTGAACTCAATTTTCCTCATCTATAGAACTGTGATAATTTCACTTTCTTGTTCCTAGATTTTGGAGAATAATTAAATGTGGGTGATTCATGTTCAATGTCTGACACTTCATAAGTGCTTGATAAATGTCAAGTATTCTGGCTAGTTTGCTTGTATCTCTGCAGAGAAAATCACCCTATCCTCTTTAGGATCTATGTTGACTATGTTCTCAGTCAACTACTTTGCACACTAAATGTCCACTTGAAAGTTTCTCTCTTCTGTCTACCTCCATGATTCCTCTCTTTCCTCATCTTCTGGTGAGATTCACTGCTGATTTTGCTATTAAAGACAATAGCAAAGCTCTTGCTGACAGAATCAAGGAATCCTAACTTACCTTTCTGAATTACAGTTACAATTTCTCTTGTGAAACTTACTATTTCTTTAATATTTTTTAACATTTATTTATTTTTGAGAGATAGAGATAGCACTTGACAGAGGAAGGGGTAGAGAGAGAAGGAAATGCAGAATCTGAAGCAGGCTCCAGGGACTCTGAGCTGTCAGCACAGAGCCTGACGTGGGGCTTGAAGTCATGAACCATATCATGACCTGAGCCAAAGTCAGACACTTAACCGACTGAGCCACCCAGGAACTCCAAATATTTTCATTTTCTTTTTTTTTAATAGTTAGGTACTTTTGAGAGAGAAAGAGAGAGAGAGCTCAAGCAAGGGAGGGGCAGAGAGAGAGAGAAGGAGACACAGAATCCAAATCAGGCTCAAGGCTCTGAGCTGTCAGCACAGAGCCCAGTGTAGGGCTCGAATTCATGAACCTTGAGATCATGACCTGAGCTGAAGTCAGATGCTTAACCAATTGAGCCACCCCCAGGCGCCCCTGAAACATACTATTTCAGTGGTTAGTATTAGTCCTTAGTTTATATAATTTATTAGCTCTGGTCCATTATTGATTTTCAACTATTCATCGTGGAATATGTTTTTTCATTCATTCATTGTGCAAATGTTTGTTGAACATTTGCCAAGTGAAGATACTGGAGTGGGCCTTCCAAATACAAGACAATGAAACATCAAACAATTTACGATCCAGTTGGGTAGAAAGAATCTGACAGCAGATAAGAACAACTAGACGTTCTGGATCTGTCTCTGTGCTCTGCAAAGTAGAGTCACTTGGCTAGAGGAAAATCCAAGAGAAGATCTCTCTTGAACTGAGTTTTGAAAGAATCCATTGGGCTCTGCAGAACAGTGCAGAACCTTCTTGGAATTCTCTCCCTGCCCCTCCCTCATGCTCTCTCTCTCTCAAAATTATATATATATATATATATATATAAATACATGAAATCTTCAGTGCCCTTGATGGGGTTACCAGGGAAACACCATGGCATGGCATGAGTCCCTGGCAGCTCCAAAGACAACTCTGCACATGGTTCAGCTCAATGAGCACGATGGGCACCCCTCTGACAACACATGATCAACTAAGTAAAGTCTACTTTCTTTTTTTTTTTATTTAAAAAATTTTTTTAAATTTTTTTTTTTATTTATTTCTAGGAGAGAGAGAGACAGCATGAGCAGGGGAGGGTCAGAGAGAGAGAGAGTCACAGACTCTGAAACAGGCTCCAGGCTCTGAGCTGGCAGTCAACACAGAGCCCGACGCGGGGCTCGAACCCACGAACAGCGAGATCATGACCTAAGCGAAAGTCGGACGCTTAACCGACTAAGCCACCCAGGTGCCCCAGTAAAGTCTACTTTCTACTCCATTGATCTTTGTTTTGCGTTCATGTGTCCTCTATAGCTTGATGCCAGAATATGTCTCAAAGTAAAACATGGGCCTTGATCTGATCTGATATACGTTTAGTCTATCTTTTTTGAAACATCGTGGCAAAAGAGAGGTTCAAATACGAAGACCCTCTTTAATTATTCTCAACTGAGAGAAACTAGAATCCCATAATCACAGTGAATGAGGTTTATCATTTGCAAAAGCCCCCTGGCCCGGGAGAAGGTATAAAAGAGTGCAGTTTTTAAAACTTGTTTGTTTTCTTTGTCATTTTCACTCAGCCAACCTTCAAATAAATAAGTAGATAGATAGATAAATAGATAAACAAACAAACAAATAAATAAAATAAGCAGTCCAGATAGGGTAGATTGCTAAAGAAAGGGATCATCAGGCCACAGACCTAAATATATCCTCTTCCAAGATTACAGGTCTTACCTAAGAAAACATTCTCTGTCGGGGAGGCCCTGGGGGAGTCCACACCTGCTGGAAAGCAGAGTGAAGCTGCAGCAGCCGCCCCAGGGCCTACTTCCAGGAGAAGGGTTTTTGTACACTGACACAATGGGGAGCTATCACTGTGTTGGACGTTCGGCCAAGGAACCAAGCTGGAAGTCAAACGTGAGTAAAATCCAAACCTTCCTTCTTCAGTTGTTTGTGTCTTGTGATCCTCGTGTTTGTGAAGTGATCTTTATAAGCTGATGCTTGGCGACTAGGATCTGACATCCTCTAAGGCAAAGATAAAGTCTGTAAACAAACTCAAAAAAGGGTTGCACATTTTCTGTGAGGAACAAGGTTCAGTCATTGGGTGGGAATAACCTGTCTAAGTGATAGTTGCAGACTCTACTGGGGAGCATAATTATATGTCCCACACAGAGCCTTGCTCGATTGTCAGAAAAGGAAATTCAGTTTTTGTATGGGAAGGAGGTTAGGAGGAACTACTGTGTTTACAATTTCGGCCAGGGGACGAAGCTGGAGATAAAACGTAAGTCTTTTTTTTCAACCAATTCTTCACTGTTTCTGTTTAATTGGTTTGCTTCCCCCCACTCCAACCTTTTCACATGTTCTAATTAGTTACATGTCAGGGATAAAACAAATTTCATTCCCAGATTAGGTGCAGAGGAGAGAAAATAGCTCCACTGGAGGCTAGCTGACAGTTAATTTTTAAGATTTCCAAAGCAAAATAGGGTAACTGGGGAGAGAGGCTTGCTACCATTTCAGGGTGAGTTTTTGTAGAGGGGGAGATTAAGGGAAATCACTGTGGTTTACTTTCGGCCAAGGGACCAAACTGGAGATGACACGTAAGTACCTTTTTGTTCAATTATTTGTAAAGTCTTTGTCCTGTTGCATTATATGTTCAAGTTCGTGACATTTTGCCAAAATGAGCCCTTTCTGGTGCCTCAAAACAGCAGAAAATGAGAAATTAGCCAACTTTTCAGCTAAGCAAACAAATCGTTGAGTTTGTGAGGAGAGTAGGCTTTGTGGGGAGAAGGGGGAAGAAATGGTTGGATTTTTCTCTGAATCGGCCTTTCGTATATGATCGGCATCAGAAGGAGGTTTTTGTTGAGGGCTGAGTGTCAAAGCCCTCACTGTGGCTTACCTTCGGCCCGGGAACCAAGCTGGAGGTCAAACGTAAGTACACTTTTCTAGTGCTTTTTCTTGTAGAGTTGTGAAATTTGGGGGTTTTCATGTGTGGGATGTGAGTTGAGGTCAGTTCTGAAGAGAATGGGATTCTTCTGAAAATCAGATGAGTAAGGGGCTGAAAATCAATTCATCTCAAAGAAGAGCAAAGAGCTAGTTAGTTGATGTGGCATGTAAATTGCCAGATTTTCACTGTATCCATCAATCTAATGAGTTTAGCAGCAAAAAGAGGTTTTTGTTGAGGAGAAAGTAATTAAGTTAATACAGTGGATCACCTTTGGCAAAGGGACGCGTCTGGAGATTAAACGTAAGTAATTTTTCTCTATTGCCTGCTGAAATTTGCGTCTAAATACCAGTGCTGACTTTTAGAGGTCACCTAAAGTATTCACCTAAAAGTATGAATTTTGTGCAGATGAGTGTATGAGACCATTTCAGATTTGTCATCAATTTCAAAAGTTAAACTCAGCTCCAAAACTGGGTTTGTAGACAAAAAGTTTAATTTAATCTAAATTTCATTGTTCAAAAGGAAAAAAAAAATAGTGTAGATGAAAAGGAATCTTTGGAGCTCAAGAGAAAAGTGAACTAATTTTCATTGAGTTTTGCCAGATGTTATATTGATTTTTGCTCGTTATGTGTGATACAGAAGAGAAATTTATTTCTTAGTCTTTCTCTCCTGATAAGTTATTTTTTAAGATAACAATTAAAATTCATAGAATGCATAAAAAATCAGTAAGTTAAAAAAGCGTATTTATTTGCCAAGTAAAACATACAGCTTAATTGAGAATCAGGTGCGCTGCCATCTTTAGGGTCTAAAAGGAGTGATAAATTGTCAATATTCAGAAATTCTACAGAAGTTCTATATCCTGATAGCTATCTTCTTTGTAAAAATCCAATTTCTATATTAGACTAAACGTGAAATGATTTCTTGTTGCAATGGTGAAGAGACGGTTATCACCAAAATCTCAGTTTTGAAAAAATTCGTTTAAATGAAGTAAAAGAAAATAATTGCATGTTTCAAATGTCCACGGACTTGTAGAAAAATCGTAAATATTTTAGTGAGCGTGTTTTTTTATTTCCCTCCGTTATAACTTGGCCATTTTTTTATACCGCCAAGGAAGCCACGGCAAAGCTTGCGTGGTCTGTAGACTTCATGGCGGTCTTTTGTCATGACTGAATGACTTTTGTGACCAGGCCACAGCACTCATGTGGCAGGGCACCTAGCCGCTAAAGGCCACAGCCACGGCCACTCCACAGTCGCCTGTTCAACTCTCCTGTGGTGGCTTTCCCAACACAGTGATACGAATAATGGCACTAACAGAAAAGAATAGAAATGTAGTGGGCACTGAGCTAACATAAAAGAAACAGGGAGAAGTCTGATTTAGTAGAAATTTCAGAAATAAATTTCAAGTCATTGTTATAGCCTCTTAATAGAAATTTCCATTAGAGGACTATAAAAAACTTAAAGCTACTTTTTTTTTCAGTGACATGTAATTATTTCAATATTATCTCATCAAATATATTCATATAGTAAAAGCACAATCCAAAAGAAAGAAATATATATAACTCTTCCGGGGCAAAATCCTTACCAGCAAAAACTGAATTTAAGGCCATCTGGCCACTCCAGTTTTAACCAATTAACTTTTACTGAGTCCACATTAAATACCATTAGATAAAAAAATAAGATAAATTTGTGAAATGCTTTTAATTTTCAAAAAATTAATGGCTTGTAGGTATTTCATACAACTGAAATATTGTTGTATGAAATACCTAATCACAGACAAATACCATTAATAAAAACTTGATATAAACATATTTTCCGATACTTTCATTCTGTGGTAGAAAATTTTTAATCTGAGTATTTTAATCCCATACCCTGTAAAACAGTTTAGTAATTTTTTGTTGTTTACTTCAGCTGGTTTCAAAAGTGATGCTTAAGAAAGGTTATTTTTGGTCTGCAACAATTTTATAGGACTCTTTTAGGGCTGTTTTAAAACTTGAAAATTATTTTAGGACTATTTAAATTATATGGGTATTTTAAACTATTTTAGGGTCTTTTAAAAACATTTTTTATACATTTAGACTCCATTAAAAGCTAATAAAATGTCTTGTAAGACTTTCCATATCAAATGTGCTGATTATTTAATATTTTGTGCAGGATGGATATTTTAAAGGTGTCGAGGATTCACCCAGCTACAAGTATCTTCCTAGAATACTTCCCCTCCTTTTTTTCTAGAATTCACATTATTTTGCTGCCAAAGATATTTTATAAAATTCTCAGAAAAAATTAGTAATGCAGGTCAAAAGAGAAAAAAAATATATATCAAAACATAAAAAGTTCAGTATCTTACATCGAAATGCTTAATTAATGGAGGTTAGCTTTATAAAAACCTGATCACTATCTGCAATCTTCTCACAGGAAAGGATTCTTGATTTGTTATTTTCGCCCTTGCTCTCTGACCAGACAGCTTGAATGCCCACAGACGGGGATTTCCCAGACGCCATCTGGCAGTTGCTCATGGTCAGAACTGAAGCTAGCTAGTTCCTCAAAGGCAGGTGGCCAAAATTACAGTGGACCCCCACTGTCTGGTCTATTATCGCCCCAAGTCATGGCAGCTGTCAGAGCAGGGCTTGGTCTTCCAGGGCTCGGTCTTCCTTCAAGGTTTTGTAAGGAGATCAGGGAGTTGCTGGACTGATCACAGAGGGTGACAGGGCTGTGCCTCAGCCCAGGTACAGACTCAGGGTTTGAAGTCACTCTAGAGGGGGGAGTCTGGCTCTAACACACTCAAAGAAAACCCAGGAAGGAAAAAGCAGCCTGATATAGCTACACAGTTCTGGGAGAGACACAGGGGAATGAGTTCTATAAGGAGGTCTAAGATGTGTTTTCACTTCTAAACTGTGAGGGAGTCTGATAAAATGGCCCTCGTGTCTTTGCCTAAAACACTGTGCTTATTGCAAGAGGCAGGGAACACAGGTGAAGGAAAGAAAGGTGAGGTCAGAAAAGCAACAAAGTCCTTCAAATGGCTGTAGACAAAACAGTGTAAAACTTTCTTAAGAGATGGGGACCAGAGAAAAACGCAAAATCATGGAGATTTTAAATCTACTTCCTGGTCTCCCTCATTGCTACTCAGAAGAAACACCTCTGTCTGTCCCTTATGGGCTCCGGGATTGCCCACAAATGATATACCCAAATGGAGGACTCCCCTGTTCCTTAAAGACCATTCTCTGTGCTTCTTTCCTCAGGGAGTGATGCTCAGCCATCCGTCTTTCTCTTCCCACCATCTCTGGACCAGTTGCACAAAGGAACTGCCTCTATCGTGTGCATGCTGAATGACTTCTACCCCAAAGAGGCCAATGTCCAGTGGAAAGTGGATGGTGTTCTCCAAAACCAAGGCATCCAGCAGAGCATCACAGAGCAGAACAGCAAGGACAACACCTACAGCCTCAGCAGCACCCTGACGATACCCAGTACAGAGTACCAGAGTCATGAAAAGTACTCCTGCGAGGTCACGCACAAGAGCCTGTCCTCCGCCCTCGTCAAGAGCTTCAACAGGAGCGAGTGTCAGAAAGAGTAGCCTCGCAGGCCTCATCGCCTGTGCCTCGGCCCCAACCTCCCTGCCTCCCTCCTCAGGCCTCCGGACCTTTTCTCATCGGAGACCCACGTCTATTGCAGGCCCTTTTCCCCACCTTACTGCCTCCCCCTCTTTGGCTTTAATCATGCTAATAATATTTGGGGGAAAATGAATAAATAAAGTGAATCTTTGCACCGATGATTTCTCTCTTCTTCCTCTGTTAATGGTTGTTATACATTTTTTTTTTCCAATGACCTAGCTTACTTATTTTCTAAGGAACTAAACACTGAGTTGCTATAAAATCACCACTATGCATAAAAATCATCATCCTACATTCTACCTGACCTTCCTGTCCTCTACGAGACACTCTATGAAAGCCATACGCGACCTGTCTTCATATCCAGCCCCCACCCCCACCCCTGGGCCATGGCTTAACAGGCTGGCTTCCTCACTTTCCCCTCCTCAGCAGGCCCTCAGAGTCCTTTTGAGGGTGACAGTTCTCACAGTCACAGATCTTTTGATCCAGTGAACTTACCGTAAGAATTTACTCAAAGCAAATTTTCCAAAAGAAACATCTATAAAGAGTCACTCACGTAACATTATATAAAATAACAAGACAATGAAAATGATCTAAATGAATAGGCAATGGGGAAATGTTAAAGTCCATTATGGCACTTTAACTTAATGGAATATGATCTCTCTACCTGACAAAAACCATACTGAGTGCTTTCCACAACCTAATTAAAGTCTTACTTTACTGCAAGGTTAAAAATGTTCATTAAAACACTGGGCAAGTCCTAAGGTGCACCTGGGTGGCTCAGCCAGTTGGTGATCCCGCTCTTGGTTTTGGCTCAGGGTGTGATCTCATGGTTTGGTGGGTTTGAGCCACGCATAGTGCTCTGTGCTGATAGCAGGGAGCCTGCTTGGGACTCTCTCTCTCCCCCTCTTTCTGCCCCCGTCGCCAATGCTCTCTCTGTCTCGCTCAAAAATAAATAAATAAATGTTTTAAAAATATATTAAAAAATAAAAATAAATAAAAATTTAAAATGTTGGGCAAGTTCTAGAAAGCTGAGAGATTCATATAGTATAGCCTAGCAATCCCATTCCCAGATGTCTCTGTCCACCAAAAGGCCTATGCACACATTTTTCAGAGCTGCTTCATTTATGAAAGCTTGAAACTGGAAATAATCCAAATGCCCACCAACAACAGAATGGGTCACTAATTTGTAGTATGTTTATACACTGAAATTCTAATACATAAGGAGAATTTTAAAACTATAATTATACCCAGTGGCATAGATGAATCTCATAAACATGACAACAAGCAAAAGAAACCAAACACAAAAGATACATTCTTTTTAAAAATTTTTTAATGTTTACTTATTTTTGAGAGAGAGAGAGAGACAGAGCATGAGCAGCAGAGGGGCAGAGAGACAGGGAGACACAGGATCCAAATTAAAAAAAAATTTTTTTTGTAAATGTTTATTTTGGTGAGACAGACATAGACAGAATGTGGGTGGGGGAAGGGCAGAGAGAGAGGGAGACACAGAATAAGAAGCAGCCTCCAGGCTCTGAGTTGTCATCACAGAGCCTGATGCGGGGCTTGAACCCACAAGCTGTGAGATTATGATCTGAGCTGAAGTCGGACGCTTAACTGACTGAGCCACCCAGGCACCCCCAAAAGATATATTCTATATATTTTCATTTAGATGAAGTCCAAGCCAGTTAAAAATACAATTAGAAGTTTAGATGGGGATTACTTTTAAGTATGGGGTGAGGTGGTGCCTAACAGAAGGGTTTCTAGAGTTTTGTTAAGTAATGTGTGTCACTTTGTGGAAATTTGTTGAGCTGTATTATATTATAATCTGTGCACTTTTCTGTATATATATTATACTTCAAAATAAGTTCACATCAAGAAATATCTTACACCAGGGCCACCTGGGTGCATCAATTGGTTTAAGCATCTGGGTCTTGGTTTTGGCTCAGGTCATGATCTCACAACTTGTGGGTTCGAGCCCCACATCAAGCTCTGCACTGACAGTGTGGAGCCTGCTTGGGATTCTCTCTCTCCCTCTCTCTGCCTCTCCCCTACTCATGCTGTCTTTCTATCTCAAACATAAATAAGCATTAAAAAAAAGAAATATCTTACACTCAGTTTATAGATTAGAGAGGCTAAGGTCAAGACCACATGGTCAATGGATCAAATCCCCACCTGCCTAACTCTGCTCTCTGAAAACCTATGAAGTTCTGCCTTCCTGTGCTTATGGTACTGCATAGAACAAAGGGTCAAAAATGCCATCTGCCTGAGGTCTCTCCTCTTTTCATCTTTCTAGAAGGTGCCATTCAGCCTGGGTACCTATGCTGGGGGGAGCAGAGGGAGGGTTGTATTAAATGTGGACAAGGTGGGGCCTTTTACTAAACTGTATTAGTGGCCAGAGTGGCCAGTGGAAGACCTAAGGCTGAATCTCAAAGACAGAGACCAGGGGTTCTGTGCTCTCTCCCTACTGGGTGAGCACAGGTGAGTTAGCACTAGGGTTCAAGTCATCCATTACCATGAGCCTTGCTAGATGAAGTGGACAAATTTCAATGCTCTTTTCCCACATCATTGTTCATATATAATTGCCTGGGAAGATATGCTCACAGGTCATAACAGAAAGTTACTTGACTTTTGTGCCTCAGTTTTCTCATCGGAATGTCTTACTTGTAAGACAGTTGTGAGAATTGAATGAAAGAATTCATGTGAACCACTGAACATCCAGCCTAGCATGTACCCAGGAAGGTGCAAGTATTAGTCATCATCATAATAATAGTAGCTCAATTTGGCAACTATTTGATTTCTTTCAAGGGGCTCTTTAATCTTATTCTCCAGCATTAATTCTTTTAACCCCAAAGACTTCCCTTTCCCCAGATGGAGTGCTTTGATACCCTTGTTGAAAGTCAATTGACCATAAAGTTGGGTCTATTTCTAAAATCTTTATTCCATTCCATGATCTATTTGTCAAGAGACACTACCCTAATTACAGCAGCTTTAGGAGCTTCTTTGTGGATGTGCTAAGTTTGAGGTGCCTATCAGACAACCAAGCAGAGATGACAGGTGGACAACTGGACATAAGATCCTGTCATGTGGAAGACAGAGGTCAGTACTAGAGACATGAATGTGGTCATCACCATAAAGTGGTGCTAAAAGCCCTCAGACTGTAAGAGAATAGCCACCAAGCACACAGGGATAGAGAAACCCAAGCACTAAACTGGGAAGCACTTCAACATTAAGAAGTTGGTGAGATGAGGAAGAGCCAGAAAAGAAGACAAAAAGGATTGGTCAGAGAAGGAGGAAAATCGGGAGAATGGTGTTGCCCTGGAATCCAAAAGAAGAAATGTTACAAGGGGGAGAAACTGATCAGTTGTCAGCTGTATCAACTGGAATGAAAATGGACCACTGGATCTAGAGATGTGGGGGTCACTGGTGAACTAGATAAAAGCTGTGTCTGTTGAACAGCAAGGGCAAAAATCTGATCAGAATGAGTTTAAAAGAAAATGAGAGGAAAGAAATTAGAGACAGTTTGCATGGCCTAGTCTTTGGAGGAAAGAGTTGGAAAAAGGCAGTATCTGGAAGAAGAGAAATGACAGCCTTTTTGAATGCTAATGAGAATAATCCAGTAAAGAAAATCTGGTGCCGCAGGAAAGACAAGAGAAACATGCTGCATCAATGTCCTTGAGTAGGTGAGATGGGGTGGGTGGAACACAAGTGGAGGTGCTGCCCCTCGCTAGGAACACAGATGGGGTTCAAACACGGACAGAAGGGAAGAGGGTGTCCACGCGCACTGATGCAGAGAGGTCCACAGACATGCTGGGAATTGCTCATAACTTCTCCGATAAATATGTAGAATTTCGATTGTGGAGGTTTAGCAATTCAAGATGACTTTGTAGACAGAAATACACAAGTAAAGGCTCCAGGCAGGGGGAAGCTAACAGAAGATGGAGAAGAAGAGTGAAATTCACAAGGGAGTTCCCTTACCATCTGCCACTTCCTGTCCCCTAGGTTCCACATGTCATTCCTCCCATGAATTCTTGGAGACCACTGGCATGGGAAAGACCCCCATAGATAGCTCTTGCCTCTCCCTTTAGCTCCTCTCAGCCTTTCTACCCCTCCATTTTCCTACCAATCTCTTCTCAGGATTTGAATAGCTCTTACTACCCCTACCATGTGGTTACTTATCTCTTAAGAGAAGGCCCTATCTCCTAACTTTGGAAACTTGTGTATCCCTGAAGATTCTCTGCATAGAGGGAGAAAAGGGGGATGATGGTGAGGACAGGGGCGATGGGGTGGGGAAGGCAGAAGAGGGAAAGGTACCGCCATTTGCTAGAACTGTCACTAGTACAAATACCTCGATTTTCATACCACAAACTGAGGTATTTATTAATCTGGCCTCATAGATGAGGATCCTGAAGCTAAGGAGGGTTATGTAGTGTGCTTAAAATTACAGAGCTCACACCATAACTTAAAGCAAGGTTATCAAGCCCAAACCACCATGCTTTTCTGATAGTTTGCACTCAGCAGGTTCTGCGTAGGTTTTCAGTAATACTGGTTTGTCATAGTAATAGTTAGGTCTCAGTCAGCTCTAAAACTAACAAAAAGATTGGACTACAGAGTGAATGAAGGTCTTCTCTCTCTGTGAAAGTCTTTCTCAAAAAAATATATAAGTTTTTGTTTCACCATGGGCTCAAAGAACAAATAAGGAACAGCCTCCAACCTACAACACCATAGTAAAATGTTGATGGTCAACGTAGGAAACAAAAAGTACACAGAGAAAACCTTCTGTAATACTCCTTCTGGCTCAACACATGCCAGCTTGTAACAAGTTTTTACTACATAATAATAGTAATACACACAATGTCTCAATGCTGACAGCAATGACCATGTCACTGAATCCTCCAACAACCCCACAGGTAGTCTGTATTATAAGGAAACTAAGACTTCATGTAAATACCATGTCCAACATCACACAATCAGTAAATACCAAAGTCAGGCCTCAAGTTCAGGCAGCCTGATCAAGAGCCCTAAGTGTAAAACAGCATGGTCCCTTCCTAAATTCTATTCGCAGCTGCCATTCTCTGGGGCAAAGAATCACTGGGTCTTTGACTGAGGAAAGAACTTGGAAGACAGGTCAGGAGACTGAAGAGCAAAGGCTGGATGGCATG